AAATTATAATTCCCCACAGTTTCTTTATGAGAAATTAATTTCCCACATTTATGAAAGTTCGATGACTAAAACTAATTTTACAATAATGTAATATAAATTATAAAATTACCAGCATTAGTATCACCAAAAACCACAATTAATGTAATATTTATTATTATTAATTTAACTTCAAACGAACTCATATCGATTATTAATGTAATACAAGCATTTAAAGAAAGATGAAAAAGAATTCTTATAAGAAAAAGTAACAGACAATTATGATTTTCTGAGAGTTATAGAATTTGTTTACTTCGGAACACAGACTTCTATATAATACTAAATAAAGTACATCGAGTGATAACAATTTTATTACAAATTATGAAGCCAGAATTGCTGCAGCTGATCAAACAGCCGCCATGTCTTCGATTGGAAAAACATTACATTCATTATACAGAATGTATTAGGAATAAGTCTGAATAGCGTTTTAAATGGTAAATAAAATAATAAGTAATGACTCTAGAAAAATGCTAGAAAAATAATTTGTATTTTTTTAAAAGAAACAATTACATTTTTAACATCAAAACATCAATTAATAAGTACCAAATATACTATAATATAATATATTATTTTAAATATATTAACAATAAAAATAAGAATTTTTGTTGATTCACAAGTTTTAATTTATAAATTATTAATTTTAAAAAAATGAGCACTACTTAAATTACATCAAATACATCAAATAGATACCTACTTTGATATATATTTATTTTGTGCCATAAATTAAAATAAAATATAATATTATTAATTATTACTTAAAAATAATTTAGTAACAGACGACGTTTATAAAAAGTCATGGAATTTTTTGTTTTAGCAAAAAATGCAAACGAATTTACAAATAGTCTTTACATATGATAAATTAAATTTTTGTCACCAAATTAATTTATAACTAGGGCTGGGATTTATATGTAATAAAAACAAAATATATATGTAATTTAAATAGCCAAAATATGTAATAAGAAAAATTTAAAAATATATCAACGTGTTAAATTAAAATACAATTCTAAATAATTTTTAAATAATACAATTCATTGTTTTTAATTTCTAATCAATTTAATTTAAAAATATAATATAAAACATATGTAATAAAAAAAAATTAAAAAATATGGTGTTAAATTAAAAATACAATTAATTTTTTATTAAATTAAAATAAAACAATGACAAACTATATTATATTGCTTTAAATTTTCAAAATTAAAAGTACAGTAATTTGGTCTTAACACTGAAACACCTACTAAAAAAGGTTCCACATCACAGATATTTTCATAACCACGCGAATGCAAGTACTGACACGGTTGTAAGTTCGTTAATATATTTTGTTAAATAATTGTTGAACGTAAAGTATAACCAAACAATTGACAAAGATTATTAAGGTATGGTTATCGAACAGAAACAGATAAATTAAAATCAAGTTATTAATATTTAACTGATACTTTCATATACTTATTTCCTTTATGTATTATACGCACTTACAATTTTAACGAGTATTATTATCGAAGTATAAATATATAATACTACCAAAACCACCAAAATTTTCCAAATCTATGAAAGATGCAAAAAAAGCGGAAATTTTACAAATTATGTAAAAATATGTATTTATGACAAAATATAATGTGTCTTATTTTATTGCAAATCATGTGAAACGAATTTATCATTTGCAATAATTAATTTATCATGTTTTAGTAAAAATATGTACTTACATACAAATCCCAGCCCTATTTATGACTATCCAATAAACTTTCTTCAGAATATTTAGTATTTTTAAAAAAACATTATAATTAAAAACATAATTTTTTGTTAAAATTATCATAGATGTTAAATGTGTGGTAATAGAAGTAAAATTGCCAGAATTTTGCACATCTCTAGACTGTCCAGCAAACAAATTCTGATTCCACCACTATTTTTAACTTGTTGAAGTTCATAAGTCCAAAAAAAAAAAAAACATCAATATTCGTAATATAGGCGCAGTAAACTAGAGTGATGCGTGAATGCGTAAAAATACAAAATTTCTTACTTCCAATGGCCACAACTTCAAAACGAAGTCCTACCGAAAAACTCTGATTGTACCATTGTACTTAAATAGTTAATATAAGTAAGATCAAGAAAATAAATAAATAAAAAAATTTGCGTGGGGTGGTGAAGTGCATATGTTCCAAATACTCACTTAAAAAAATTTATTGGTAGGCACTTTTTATATCTATAAAAACAACTATAGGCCAAATAGGAGGTAACCATCATGATGGAAAAATTATATATAAATTATAAATAAATTATTCTGTAGGGACAAATTTTTTATAATACATTTTTGTCGAAATATATTCTGTTTACTGCATAATTTATAGGTAAGCATTATAAATTATCATAATGTTTTGTCAACTGAAAACATGGCGCCCGACAGCGGCAACCGATAATTAATGCTTCAACTAATAACGCGAATTCGTTATCTAGTATTATATAAAAGTCTGTGATTCGGAAAAGTAAACATTTCTCGGTATTTTTCAAAATAATCACAAAATTAAAAATATGGTAAAACGAAAATATTTGCACAAAACTATTTTTAATAATAGTTTTAATTTCTCTAAAAGTGTTTACAGACACACACAAAAAAAACAACATATTTACATTATAGTAAATCAATACATTCATTGTTTTGCTCAAAACCTAAAATATAAGCTACGTTTATTTTAAAATTTCAAAAAACAGAATTTGCATAAATTCATTATTAAAAGATTAAATAAAGGTAGGTAGTATGCTTAATGAATGCCACTGTGTAATCGAATATTATTATGATGTATAATGTACGTGATATTTATTCGTAGATGCCATCAAGACGTCAATCTGGTAAACAATGCAAAAAAAAATTGTTTTCAATTCTACATTGAAATAATTTTCGAACAAATTTAAATTAATTGTAGACTTTTCATTTCATTCTATATACTACGAGTGTAAATGCTTTATAAGAGAACTTTCATTTTTGTTACAAGATAATGACCTAAACTAACCAAATTCGCAACTGAAATTTTATACTTCAAGCCTTAAAATTGATGTACTTAAATTAAATAAATTACGTACATTGCAATCCTTGAAATTAACATAAAAATTGTTTGTACTTACTTATTGAAACTGCAAGCGTGTTGAAATTAAAATGATCTATATATAATTGATAAGTGGATCAATGACATACGATAATGTAACATATTATATTTTATATTATATTACAAAAATTAATAATAAAATACATAATAGGTACCTACCTATATGGCTATATGCTGTGTAGTCATTAATCAGTAAACTGCACATAGTCATCAGCTTAAAACACACCAAATAACAAATAGTAGCCAAGCGTACAATTTAATACTTAGATGTAAATGATATTTTATACAACCAATATAAATTTAAAAAAATTAAAGAAATTACACGCACTGTACGATTTTACTAACAAATCAGGTTTGGTTTTATTGGTTTTAATTAATTTACCATTGAATATCAACGAAAAGTGCGTGAGACACTATAACTATCATATTTATTATAAGAGAAAGTTAAGGTATAAATTTAGGTTTATAATTTATATTATATAGCTATATTTTTTATTCGAACTTACCTATATGTATATATGTATAATATATGTATATTATATATATATATATCACTAATTATAGGTATCATATGGCATACATTATAAATTAAGTATAAATATATATTTTCATTTTATTTACGGTACTTTAATATCTAATGATGGATGTTAATAACTTTAATAGATAATATTTGAAGACCAATATGAAACCTTACGTTTGAATATTTGCATAAATATTACATATGCATTCGAAGTAATCCTATGTAGATCTAGAAATTTGCAGGATTTTAATGATTTTTTCTACAAACCTATATTATTGTCTGTAAAAAGACGTATAAACCGGTAAGGGGGAGGGTCTATACAAAAAAATGGGTTCTCTAATCTTTACATATAAATATAAAAATATTTGTTTGTATATATAACAGACCGTCTCCAATCAGGATCGTTTTTCGTATACAATATGATATTGAATTTAAATTTAAAATTTAATACATTCTTACACTAACCAAATTAACACCTAATATATAGTTAGCGGTACCCACTTACCCACCTTTTTAAAATACTACTTTAAAATGCACGTATATTGGAAAAGCGCTATTAAAAATAATTTCTAAAGTCGCATGTCATGATAGCATATAGCATAATTCATGCAAGCATTGCGAGCAACAACACGTAAATATATAATTTAAACTTTGTAAAACGTTTTACCGAATAAAAAGTTCTGCAGTCATTAAATTAATCACCACAAAATAAGAGATAATAGGTTTTATTTTTTAAATGACAAATATTTTTACTTCATATAGGTAATTATGCTAATCATTTATTATATATACTTATACTGTGTAATATATATATATACTATATGTACCTACTATACCCGCGACTGTAAATAAATATAAATTGCGTAACAACTCGTTAGATATATATAGGTACTGTACATACCTACACTTATTTATAAAAAATCAATTATCTCCCGAGATGTCAGCTACACAGTAGTATACGCCTGCAGCAAGTAGTCTGGTCTTCTAGAACCAACGATGGCTCTACGAAGGTCCCTTCCCCTCCTCCCGCATGTAATTTATATGATATAAAAACGGTTTCAATAAGTGATGAATGATGATACCTCCGCAATACTGCACCGTCGTCTGCGCATATATTATAATAATATCATATACCTATTATACTCCCCTGTACTCTGTAGTCACACGTAACGGTATTTGAACGCCACCGCGGTCGAATAGAAATATTGGACCAAGGACGACGAGAAAAAATACAAAACAATCGCATGAAATCGAATTGGTGTGCAGACCACAATTAAATAATAATAATAATTACCATTATAAACGCGTATCAATATAATCTGTATGAGATGTATGAGATGTATATATAGGTATGCAAGAAAAATATTATGGTTTATTCAGTCGCCGGTTACGCAGATATACTATATGGACATCGTTTCGATACATATTTATTTAAAACAGCGTTATCTTCAAGCCGGATCTCTCGCCTAAGTATTATTATTATATAATATAGTTACACTATTCAATAGGTACTTCTTTTATGCATGTGCCATTTGCGTATTCTATCCGCGTAAATAATTGCATACCTGTAGTATACGAGGTAAATAATGATGACGACGAAATTTGTGGTGTGTTTGTTTTTGACGTGTTATGTGATCGTGAAAAATGTTGAATCGGCTAAGCTCCAAGCTCTACCGTTACGTAAGTAATGTATCTATGTAAAAGTTATAAAAAAACAATTATTACATTAATCACTCGCCAATTATTACAATCAATTAACTAATTTAAAAGTATATTAGAGAAACAGTATTGCAACACTAAACACAACAAATTGAAAGTAGTTTTTTTTTTTTTTTTTTTTATTACACGATAAAGTAAGTCTTAGTGTGATAATTCCGTTAAATTCAAAATAATATTGTAGAATACATTATTAATACCCGTGGAACTATAAATTATACAAATAAAATTGATTTTTTAGTTATCCAGTATAGTAACGTATAATGTATCATTTATTTAAAGTCATGTTAACCATCATTATATGAATAAAAATTATAACAACATAAGTTAAAACTATTATTAATATGAGCTACATTTTATAGTTGTTGATAAATTTTATAATAATCGATAATTCAATATAAGTCATGTATGTAATCATAGTTGTAAAAACTGCATATTTTTTACTCTTGATTTATATCTAGACTAAGCTAAAAATCTATTTTATACAATTATATTTTAAAAAAAAACTTTAAAATTCATACTTTGCATACCTAATTTGTAAATTTTAAAGAAATATGAATTTTTAAATTTGTACAAAAAGTGCATAAATATATATATATATATATATATTATTATTATTTCTAAAAAATTGATATTTTTATTAATACCATTTTGGTATCGATACATTTTTCCAGATCAATAACTATTATCGCTAACAGGCAACCGGCAATCAGTTATCTACTTATTAGATATTTCTTTTTTCGTTTTCCATTAATTTAATAAAACGATTTTTTGTCTAATATTACACTACACTTAAACCATTTTAATAAGTGCATATAAAATATTATTTTTGTATCACTAATATTTTCGTTTAAATATCTTAAATTTTGTTTTAGCATATTTAATCTGTTTTAGAGTTTAATAACTTCGAGCCCCATTCATACTCAACTATTTATCAACTCACAATAATAAAATCAAATTAAGCATTGGACTTTATAGTAACATATGAATTTAGTCTGTAGATACCTAAAATAGGGTCAAAATGTTACATAGGTACATAACTTTATACATGTTATTGGGTATTTTAAAAGATACTAAAAATTGAAATCTAGTTAATTTTTAGTTTTTAGACATTTATATATAATTAAATATAAATATAATATCAGATGTATAACAAGTAGAAAAACTATTATAGATCGATTACCAGGTACTTATACGATGCAGATTAGGAGTTTATTCTAAAATTTAAAATCTATATGATACTATTCACTATCCAGTTTTCATCTGAATCTTGAAAACAAAATTTAACATTTAAAAGTAAAAAATCTTTGTTGGATAATTATATGATTAAAAGCCTATATTTTTATCATAAATTTAACTTAAATTATGATATAATAACAATTAAATGCAATTTTTATGTTGATTATGTATAATCAGTAACTTAAACGAACACAATTACATTAATAAAACAGTGTAAGATAATCAGTCATCTCATATTTAGTTGTAATTTTATTATAACACTATTAATTTATAAACCTAAAAATAAACATCTAAAAACGTACCTATATTATGTTATAATCCATATTAAACAACATTTTAATTTAAGTATATTTATGATGGGGTTAACATTAAAATAAAAAAATCCTAAAATGACCTTCGTGAAAATACCTGTCACCAAACAAAATACATTAATATATGCCACTTAAAAATTAATTTCAAGTATGTATGTATATTAAACAATATAATGTTTGTAACTGTTTATTGAAATAAAAAATAAATCAATACTGACATTGACATGTTTTGAAAATACTTACGTTTGACTCAAGGAGGGCTACCAACAATGCTATTAATTACAATAATTACACGATGATATTTAATTGATCAAATATTAGATTAGTGGTTTAACAAAATATTTATTTTTTCTTTAACTATATTAATTATAGGTAATATTATTTATTGCAATTTATCCTTTAAACCTTCTAGATTAGATGTTCACACTGTTCACAAAACTGTTTTTTTTTCAAAGCACTTTTTTACAAGGTGATTCTTTTATCAAATACAAAACACTCATCATTTCAAAACCTATTAATGTTCTAAAAATATTTTTTTTACATTATTTCCAGTTGAAATAAATCAACATTATTAATTTCATATTCTGAAGCGGAATATTTTTCAGAGTATTTTGATGCGTAAAAATCGAAATTTGGACGAATATTTTATGAGATAACTTTATAAGTACTCGTATTTAGAACTTTGGTGAACAGACCAACATTTTGCGGGATATTTCCAAATCACTCCACTCGATTGATTGAAACTTACATATTTATAACTCAAAAATTACTTGTATAAATTTCAATTTTTATGTATCGAAATACTCGGACAAAATTTCTGTTTCAAAATATAAATTATAAATTATAAATAATGTTATTATTCAAAAAAGTAAAAACTTAAAAAAAAATATTTTTAAGAACGTTGATAGATTTTTAAATAGTAAGTGTTGTTTGACAATAGAATTACTCAGTAGGTATACATATATTATATAAAAATCATAATTAGCTGTGTTTATAACCTTAAATTATACGCAGACATCATCATAATGCTTTTAAATACCTATAAGCAATCATATCATTGTAACGTCTATTTTTAAATAAAAAAACACATTAATTATTAAAAATGTATATCAATAAGTTTGAATGTACAATAATTCTTATTTATTTTAACTTGTAAGAATCGTACACAAATACTATAACTATAAATAATACTATAAATAATAAATAAAATAATTTAATAGTGAGATCAAAAATGTTAAATTATATAATAATATACCTACTATTAATAAATACAATATATGATGGGTATATTATTTATTAATAGTTAATAAAAATTATAAATAAATTGTTTGGCTTCTGGTCTATTGTTAGTATTAATCAGTAGCTCGGGGTTTCTTGAACCCCAAGCACCACAAGTAAAGATAACACTGAATGTATTATGTATATCAAATTTAATAACGTAACGGATGGATGTAGTTATTACGGTTTCATAAACGGTTACAGCGTCGTACATCGGTAAGGGCTGTCTGAGAGACGACCCAAACTTAAACGAATGCGTCGTGCGCAAAGGAGCTCCGGTAATCGAACGTATAGTCAAAGGCGACCCCAAGTACCGAATACCGAAATTGGATCCTTTGGTCATACCAGAGTTGACAATAAAACAGGGCACCAAACAAGTAGGTCTAACGATGTCGTGCAAGAACTGCGAATTGCACGGACTGAGGGAGACGAAATTCGTCAGAGCCAGGTATGAAAACAAAGTTATAGATTATAACTTATTTTATTATGAACATTTATATTCTATCTGAATGAAATCCATATGGATTAAATAACGAGTAGGATGCAAAATGGTTTTTTCAATGATTTAGTCTCATGCAAAAAAAAGATAACGAAATATATTATTTAATTAAATTAAAAATTAATTATTCTTTAAATTTAAATGTTAATTTATTAATAATAAGAGTACGTTTTTTAAGTGTATTAATCATATTGTGAATCTACACAACTAGGTAGTCAGCATGCATGCATAAATATTGACTCGCTATAATAGATATAGGTATTAGGTACCTATCTGTTATCGTGTATTCGTGAAAATATATTATTATAAACATAATATTTAATTACCTACATAATATGTGGTTTACATTTAATATGCTGTGAATTTTAATAAATAAATACAGTTTTTCGAATAATTTCGTAAGTTTGTCAATATTGTACATAACTAAGAAAAAGTATATAAAAATCATATGTTAAAATTAAACTAAGCTTACGTTCGAACACCGAAAATAAAATTCTCATTTTTTAAGTTTTGGAAATACATTTTTTTTCTATGATTTTTAAGTCAATATAAAACATAATAATAATTTTTATCATTGTTTTATTTGTATTTCTTAAATTTTTAAACAATATAAATGTTTAACTTCATATTTCAAAGCAAAATAACTTTTAAACATCACTTTTTGAGACAATGAGTAGTTTGTGGTACATCGAAAAAATAATTCTGAAGAGTTCTTTAATAAAATTATTGTGTACATAGGGTGGATGAGAAAAAAAAACACGTAGAATGGGACTTTGAACTCGATCGATGTATGTTTTTGGGACAATATTCTGTGGAAGGACAAGTTCTGATATTGCCGATCAAAGGCAACGGGGACGCCAATATCACAGTCGGTGAGTGAATTTCGTGAACCATATCAACTATTTTTACCCAAAAAATAGTATAGTCTGTATATTTATTACCTAAAAAACCAACTTTATGCCATAAGAAATTAAAACAAATAAAAAATAATACATTGACGCTCACTTTATTACATTTGTAGTGTTTTTTATATATTATTAACAGATAACTACAATGTATTTAATGTAAAACAGCTTCAGTGATTGTAGTTGATTATATTTTAGCAAAGTTGACGAAAAAAAAATCATTTCAATTTATCAATTTGAAAAAAACACGAAATTAGGTACTTACCAGGTGTACTTTAAAAACTATGTTTTTATTTGTAATAAAAATATAGGGAGAGATAATTCCCATAGCATTTATGAATATATGTTTAAATTACATAAATAAATTTAAAAACAGTCCTTAAATAAATATAAAAAAAAATGCAAAATATAAAATACATAATATTTTGAATTGTAAAATAAAACAAATTTATGTCTTAATTAGCGTTATAGGTATAACACTTATAAAAATGCGAGTCATCAAAATCCTTACTACAAAATAATTGTATTTTATAAATTTATTAGACGGGATAACATTCACGTATGTATATGACTACGATCTAATCAAACGAGCGAATGAAAAAGACTATGTGGATATCACCAACAGTGAATTAAAGTTCAATGCAAAAGGAATGAAACTGAAATTAGATAATTTATTCAACGGCGACAAGCTTTTGGGTAAGTGGACGTAACATATTAAAAATTGCAATCTGTAAGTTAAATATTTAAGATACGTCATGTACTCGTGTAAATAGGTACTGCTATTTTCATCTATCAGTATACAAGTTATACTTTGTATATAATATTACAGTCATTACACACACATTAAGATGCACGCGTCACAAATTTCTTTTAATCATAATATAATTAAGTTAAGTAGGTAGGTCCCCTTTTTTTTAGTAGATCATAAGAATAACTAACCTTGCAAGATAAATAAAAATATAAGACCTCGTTTAGTCTTTTCTACGTATCCTTATATTATATTAAATTACCTATCTACCAAACATGCCTAGGTATTAATAAATATTTATGTCGAAATCTAAATAGAAGATAACCTTGTCAACAGATGTATACAATAAGTGTAATTTAAATATCTTTATAAGAACATAAATTTATGTTACTGCTTACACATATAATTGGTAAAAACAGATATAGTTTATTGCAATTATTTTAAACATATAATATTCGCTGTGTATTTATTACTTTTAAATACACACATATTATTGCAATATTACACAACTGATAACGCTGTAATAATAATTTATTATTTTTATTTAGGCGAGAGGGAGGGGGCACAATGAGACACTAAATGTTCAAATTAACATATCTCATTCAATTTGAATTATATAAAAGTAGTTCATGTTTTTTTTTTCTAAACAAACTTACATTTTAGTGCAATGTCGTTTTCTATATATATATATTTTTTAATTTGTTTATTTTATTATCATTTAAAAAAAAAAATCAATATGTCACCACAATGTACCCCAGCGATGGAGCGCAGTGAGACTTGAGGTGGGCTACACTGAGACAATAATAGAAAAATAAGACATGACATAACAATATATGATAGTTAAAAACCTTTTTCTATAATATTATTATATTTTTAGTCTTGCAAATCATGTAAACAATATATTTTAAATTAGAAAACAAAACGTAATATAATATGATAAATAAAAACTTTTTCATGAAATATTAAAATATTTTCAGTCTTTAAAATGTTGGGTACACGTTAAATAAAAATCAAAACTTAAACAATGTCATTAGAAACCTTTTTACATAATATATTATGTGTCTTAGTGCCCCACACATCCGTTTTAAGTTTAATATTTAAAAAAAGCACCTAAACGCAAAATTTCAGATGTGTAATAAATCACACAATATGCATTTTTTCTTCTAACTATTAAGATAATATAGTAAATACGTACTTACCTTTAAATTAAATTACACGACACGAAAAAAAAAAACTGTCGGTTAAATTTTTTTGTTACGATAACAAAATTGTGGAAAATGGTAATAAATAAATAAACTAATAAACATGATATTGGGTAATCAGAATCAAACGACAACAGGATAGTTGCTTCGTAATTAACATTACGTATCAATCGTATCAATGTATCATTGCATATCGTTACGAATGTTACGATTGTATGAACCGCTAAATTTTATTCATCTGTTATCAATTATTTAGTATATTTTACATCGTCTCACTGTGCCCCCTCTCCCCTATATATATATTGTAATTTTTATAGAAACACTGAGTTTACAATAAATTTAGAGAAGGTTTTTACAATTTTTTATCAAGTTAACCGACTTTCAGCATCGGAACAAACACAATTTCAGTAATAATTATGAAATGGGAATCGGTTTTCTTAGGTAGGTACTATAAGCGTACTATTGAAAGAGAACCGTGTTTAATAAAATCGTAATATTTAATAATATGTTTTACTGTCGTCTGTACATAGCATGTATTGAGCAGTATTTTTAACGAACTCTCTAATTGTTTCAGGAGATAACATGAATCTTTTTCTCAACGAGAACTGGCAAGATTTACTTAAAGAGTTTGGACCTGCAATCGGTGATGCGTTCGGAACAATTATGAAAAACACGCTGGGGTCGGTGTCCGACCTAGTACCGTACGACTTCATTTTCCCAACTAGTTAATCTATTTAGTATTTTTAAGTCTCTACTCGCCTATTATTATTTGCAAGCCCACGTTTAATTGATATATTTTAATACTAATACCTGATTATAAGGTGAGCACTTAGGTATGATAAATTATTTTATAATCGTTCACTCTAATAGTAATTCTTCATTATCTAAATAAATTCGTCATGTACTCATCACTCTCGTGCTAAAAGCAATAGCAACTGCAACAATAGGTACTTATTATTGAAATTTTTCAGCTAATCAAAACTATAAATATTTAATAACGACATAATGATAGCTTGGTATTATTACTGTTATAAAATGTTAATAATTAGATACCTAACTGGTATCAATATCTACAAGTTCCTTGCATTATTTTACGTTTTTTAAATTCTTCTATTTATAAATTTATGTTAATTATTGAATATTAGGTAATTTTAATCTTAGGTCTTTTCGAATATAAGTAATTTAAATATTAGCTAAGACATAGTTAATTGTTGCATTATAAATTCATAATTACCTTTTACAATAGGTGTACTTAATTCATAAATTCTTTATACATTTTTTTCTTGATGTTATATTTTTTATTACTCATACGACTATATATTATTTATAAAATCTTGTACACGAATTACTTCTATTATCTATATACCTATTAATTGGAAGTGTTTGATAAATAATATATGTTTAAGTTATAATTATAATAACAAAAAATTATTTTATATATTATACATGTTTACTTATTAAAAACATATTTTGTGAAATTGAATCAAATGTCTTCAAATTCTGTTTTATAACCACTTGATTATTTTCAAAATTATTCTTATAATTAGGGGTCGGATTTACATGCATTATAACGTTAAAATATGCACGAAAAATAAAAAAAAAAATTCTTTTGAACAAAAGTGAAATAATGTCAATGCTCGATCATGGCCATAATCGATATTTTCTTATCTTGATACAATTTAAATATTTTATTTCCCCCATTATTTATCCAAGGTCATATTTGGAAAAATCATTTATATCTATTAATTTATTTTGATATTGATTAAAACTATATAGATATATTATTTTTCTTATATTATACTACAATAGTAAAAATGTTTAAAAAAAAAACCCTTAAAATAGCAAAATTATGCATTAAGAAAGTTTCATTTTTTAAACCGTTATTGCCATGAAACAAATTTTATGATCATTTAGTTTATCGTACGATCAATTAGAATAAATATACAAATGCATACAAATTGATTACATATTTTGTGTTTTATACCAACCTAGTGGCTAGTTTGTATTATACTATGTTTTGAGTCCAAACCATTATATTTTTATTTTTACACTAATATTAACTTGTAAATAGAATACATTTGAATAATTAAGCATTTGATCTATACATGTATAAAAGATAGTGATAAATTACTATGCCTTATGGTGTTTTTAGATTCTTAGAGGAGCGATGAATGTATTGGTTTACTTTCATTTTGTGTGTGACATGTGAGTTACACGCTGTAGACAGTAAGATTTTTATTTTTTTCAACATGCCCGTGTCTCGGAAAAATTACTATAAACAAGACCAATGTACAATATAGGTACTATAGAAAATGTAAGATTTAATATTTTTAAATATTTTCATTCAAATTTTAAAAAGTAAATACAACTTAATAAATTAAGAATTTTAGTACCTAATGTTAAAATGAATGATGATTAAGACAGCAAGGAGCATTAAGGTGTTTGAAAGCTTTGCTTTTTTATTTCATATAACTTACCTTGAAAGGAAAACTATCACAAACCTTATGCCTCATGACGTAGAAACATATTTTGATTTTATGAATTTGAAACATTTAGATTCGTTATTTTCAAAAATTACCATAGCAGATTTAAAAACTATTTGCTTTAAATTATATTCTGCAGAAGGGTAAAATAATTTAGACAACCATATTGAAGTTTTAATTAATTTTTATTTAAAGAACATCCATTTTTAGCATAATTAATATACATATATTTTGAATTGTATTATTTATTACATTTTAAAATGTGACTAATTTTAAATAGTCAAAACAAAGCTATATGTATTTAAATTCGGACTAACAGTATATTGTAGGTATTATATTAAAACTTAATTAATAATGTTTTCTAAAATTTACCAAATGGGTTTAGAAAATTCAAGAATTCAAAAAATTTAAAAATAATACATACAATAATTTTGGTAATTAAAAAAAAAAAAAAAATTGTACAAAAAAATAGCTTTGACTTGAAGTAACCACACAATATCATACTTCATCAAAACACAATTCAATACATGTTTAATCTACATTATTATTGAAAATTGACCAATGTAATATTAATATATTATAAATTTTATTTTTTTCATCACAACATACAGATCTAATTCGTATAAATTAACATAAATGAAAAAAAAATTGCTCAATTATGTCAAAGCTAGATACAACTAAAAACTCTATTTCCAAAATCAGGAAGTAATTGAAACATGACATAGTTAATATTTCTTGGACATTAAAAATTATGTTTGTGCTTTTATTACAATATATTACCTTATACTTGTTACATATTAATATTAAATAAAAAATATTGTACTATAAAACGAATATTTTTAACAACAAAAACGGCAAATTTTCTTTTTAAAATATTCTTACTCGTTTCATTATGCATAACATAAAGGCAAAAATGGATTTCAAAATTTTTGTAGAAAAAGTAATACATAAAATAAATTAATATTAATATAAAAACAACCCTCACCAGCATTGAAAATAAGGTATAAGACAGAATTTTTAGAAATAACTTAAAACTAATTATAAGTATTCATATAAGTTCTCAATTAAATGAATACAAGACTTATTGAAATTAGAAAAAAGGTATTGAATCAGACTTTAGAATACCAAAGAATTACAATTTAACTTTAAGTATAAAATACTTTTCCTTGACACTTAACTACCATTCACATTTATTTTTTAATGTAATTTTAACTTGATGTATTAATGGATAATACTATAATAATAGGAATAAGAACTAATAAATAATATACTGAAATACTATGTACACTTACAACAAAATCTAGACGTAAAGTAACGTTCATGAATTTGTGTTCTAATACTTGGGAGTGAACTTCGACCATCAATAAATCTAAAATTAATTTAAACCTAAACTTACAACAAGATGAAAGCGTCTTTGACACATTCTTCAATCTTGTTCTCTAATCACGTGAATGAAACTCCTGTCCAATATAAATTTCTAAAAACTCATTTAGAATATTATATTTGTTTAGCTATTGACATAAAAGTATTAAAATTGATAAATTGTATTTCTTATCATCTTAATATAATTTGAATATTAACTAAATAATAATAAAAATTATGTACACTTACAACATGTTAAATGTTTTAATTAACATTTCAGAACATGATATCTATTAGAAATTAGTGATCATCATGACTTACCTTAATACTAGCTTAATAGTAACTTAAATATATGAAAATTAATTACACTTACAACATGTTAAAATGTCTTGATTGACAATAATAAACATGTTATCTAATTCAGTTTCAGGCGATCAGATGGTCAAATTAATGACACTACTTAATATTAACTTAGCAACATAAAAATAATTTACACTTACATCACGTCAAAATGTCTTGAAAAAGAATTTAAAACATGATATCTATGTTGGTACTTAGGAGTTGTTTAATTAACAATATAACTAAACGTTTACTTAATAATAAGTTAATATAAATACTATTTACACTTACAACATGTAAAAATGTCTTAATTAACAATATTTAACATGTTATCTAATTCCACCGGTCATTGGCCCTATGTTTAAGTATTTACTTAAAACAATAAGAATAAATATAATACTAAGAGTAATAGTATA